CTATCATGGCAAAAGATTCCCTAGAGGAAGAGTGGGGAGGAGCTGATCATATTTGAGGAACTGAAAGATGACCAGAGTGGCAGGAAGAATAAAGGAGGATTGGGAAGCAGGCTTGAGCAAGCCCATGAAGGGCCTTACAGGCTATTTGAGGAATTGGAGACAAATTCAAAGAATAATGGAAGCCACAGTTAGCTTGAAGTAAGGCACTGTTATAATCAGATTTTATTCGGATTACTTGGACTCCATTGTGGAGAACAAATCAGGAGGCATGGCTGGAGTGGGAAGAACAGTGAGTCACAGCTGGTGGAGAGCAGTGAATTCCACAGCTCTTCAGCAAGTGAAACTATAGGCGATGAGCAAACCACGTGAGCTCAGGAACCACATCCCAGATACGGGTGCTAGAATGTTTACCTGGATGACACTGTCTAAAGAGAGGACAAAGCAGGAAAAGCTGAGAAACCTTGTGCCAGAGAACTTTCACATTTAATCACTCAGTGGAAGAGGATGGGGCTGCAGGGGGACCAGGCCTTGGGGGAGCATCCAAGGCCAGAACTGGGATACAGAAGCCAAGGAAGGGAAGTGGACAGTGTGGAGAAATCTTGCTGAGCTGCCAACAAAGAAGAGATACAACAAAGGATGCTGGCCATAGAATGAGTTATTAGTGATATCAGAGAGTTCTGTCAGTGTCATAATTGAAGGAAATGTAAATTGTAATGCATTAAAGAATGAGAAATATTTTTTAAAAGATTATTGGCTGTTTTTAAAATTAAGTTTATTGGTACAATTTAGATATACATAATAGTCACATTCATCATTGGGAATTTGTACCTGTACATGACATTTTCAGTTCCTCTTTGTTTCCCATTCCCTCCCCTCTCTTCAACCCCTCTTTCCCTCCTTATTTACAATAGCATTACTCATCAAACTCTTTAATGAAATTGAAAGAAAAACAATATTCCCAAAGTTAATCCTAGAAGCAAGTATTACCCTTATACCAAAACCAGAGAAGGACCCAACCAAGAAAATAAACTATAGGCCAGTCTCCTAATGAACATAGATGCAAAACTCCTTAGTAAAATACTGGCAAAAGAATGCAACAAGTCATCAAGAAGATTATACACCATGATAAAATAGAATTCATACCATGGATGCAAGGATGATTTATCATTTACAAATGAGTAAATGTAATATACCATATTAACAGAATGAAGGATAAAAATCTATTACCATCTCAATAGATATAGAAGGAGCATTTGACAAAAGATCTATGCATAATAAAAGCCCTACATAAAATTGGAATGCATGGTCCTTGTCTCAATCTGATAAAATCCATCTGTGACAATTCAATAGTCAACATCAAAATAAATGATCAGAAACTGAAAGCTTGCTCTCTGAAATCCAGAACAAGCTGAAGATGTGTGCTATCATCACTTTTATTCAACATAGTTCTGGAAACATTAGCTAGAGCAAATAGACAAGAGAAATAAAAGGAATAAACATAGAAAAGGAAGTAGTTATCATTATTTTCAAATGATGAGATACTCTAAATAGAAGACCCCCAACACTCCACAAAAAGACATCTGGATTTAATAACCAGATTCAGTAACATAGTTGGATACAGAGCCAACACTCAAAAATTAACAGCATTCCTGTACACAAATAACAGAGTAACTGAGATAGAAATTTAGGTAAGCCATACCTTTCATAAAGGTATCCAAAAAAGAAAAAAAGGAATACTTAGGACCAATCTAACAAAGACAGTAACATATTAAAAGAACTACCATACTCTGAAAAAGAAGATTGAAAAGGATATCAGAAAACAGAAAGATACCCTTTGCTCTTGGGTAGGAAGAACCAACATGGCACTTTTATTCCCAAAATTGTTGTTCAGATTTAATGAAACCCCAATCAAAATGCCATTAGCAAACCTCACAGAACTAGCGAAAACACTCCTAAAATTTATTTGCAACCAGAAGAAACCTAGAATAGCAAAAATAATTCTGGGCAACAAAGGCAAAGCAAGGAGCATCACAGTCCTTGACTTGAAATTGTACTACAGAGCTACAGCTTGGTACTGGCAATTGTTAAAAGTGGTTTGAGGGCCAGGGAGATGGCTCAGTGGAATAAGTGCTTCTGTGGCAAGCACAGGGGTCTGAGTTCAATCCCCAGTTCCACCAAAAAAAAAAAAAAAAAAGTGGTTTGACTGGGAAAGGATTTGCCTATTTATAATGTGGTGATTTTACTTATTAAATAGATAAGTATTATGAATATCAGTTATTCAAGTAATTGTGGAGATATTATCCTCTTACCTTTCTTGAAACTAAAAGCATAGAGCCATTAACAATATGCCATGCAAGCCAGGCTTCTTGCCACCTGAACATCTTAGGTGAGTTGTCTTCGTTGCTTTCTCTGCTGATCCACGGCACCCACCATTCACAACTCAAGGAGCAGAGGTTTATTTTGGCTTGTGGATTTTAAAGGTCTCAGTGTGTAGTTGGCTGGTGCCCAGACAGGAGGATATGGAGGGCAGCAGCCCACATCATGGCAGCCAGAAAGGCAGGAGAAAAGGGAGAAGCTGGGGAAGGGGCAGATGCACCCTTCCGGGTCTGGCCCGCAGTGTCCCCCCATGTAGGCCCAACAGCACGTTTAACTGCAGCACCCTGTGATTCCGTCACCTTCCAGAGTCTCCATCTGTGAACAAAAGAGGCCTTGGGGGTAACATTCTGTATCTAAACCATGACACAGATAAAAGAAATGTGTATATATTTTAGGCAGCCTATTTTGTTTGATACAGAAAATACTTTTTTTCTGTATCTTTGGGTTCTCAAAAGTTTTTATATATCAAAACCTTGGTGTCTGGGGGTATAAAATAACTTTCCCAGTGAATAAAGTATATGAAAAATAAGAAACAATAAATGTATCTTTAAATTAAGTGTAAATCATAGGTAATTAAACATTTATTAGATTTTGATTAATTATATCTGGGTCTTGCCTTTATACCCTCTCACTTGCTCTTACTTTCAAAGTGGTTCAGTGTGTTTTATTCCTTTGTTCTTAGGGGTCAGCTGTGTGAAATCCTAAAACATTTCCGGCCAATCTTTATTTTGAGTGAAATGTTGCACAAGCACTTGAGCTGTACATGTGAGACTCCCCATTTAGTCTCCAGTGTTTCATTACACATTGGTTTTTAATATTTTCCCTCTCATCATGATTACCTATGAGCAGCTAGCTTCAGCAACAAGTAACTTTTTAGTAGTCAAAAGTGTTATAGAGAGAAAAACAAAAGGAGAGAAACTAGAGTGGCTTCAGCTTTTGACACTGGAACTGCAGGCAGCGCCAACATCCGAGGCAACTTTGGTGGTCCTGCCGTGTTGTGGGAGTCTTCTGGGTGGACAATGAGCGGCATTTGTGAGTCTACCCGTGACCTCTTCCCTTTATGCACTGCCAGTCTCCAGTGTCATCATTAATTAGTCTTCAGGTCTCCTGTTTGTCTGCTTAGAAAACAACTCAGATAAGCCAAGTTAATAAATTGGAGCGGCTGAGCTGCCTGGCCCCTGGAACATGCGACTGTGTGGAGACAGTCAGAGGGCTGCCCTCTCCTTTGATCGTGTAGAGAAGTTTAATTCCAAAGGCCACGTGGGAGTCCCACTTTGTAGGGCTGCAGAGAGGACCTGTGAGCACAGCGGTGGAGCGGGCTGTCATTTGTCCTGGTTTCAGTTTCTAATTTCAAAACCAGGAGGCTCAGAGGCCTGGGGAAATAGTCACACACTTTGCTTCTCTTTTTCTTGGAGTTGACCTGCATTCTTCAGCAAATTCTCACAATGGGTGGTAGAACTTCAGTAAAGGAATGAAAATCATTGCCTTTGTGTTCTAAATAGGAGATTTGCATTAGGATAGATTCCCTGGAATATAGTCCAGTCCGTAGCATCTGCACCGTGTAATCCCTAGCCATGACTGCTTTGCTGTCCCAACTCTGACATTTTCTCAACCAATTTTACTAAATTTATTTATTTACTAAATCATATAAATAACAAGTAATATTTATGAGCCTCCCTGCAATGCCAGCATTCTGCAAACCATTTCGCGTGCGTTACCTCATTTAATTTTCATGTCATGCCTGGAGTGGAGGGTGGGTCCCATATTTGTGGATGAAAGAAAGAAGCCACAGCCCTCTTGAAGCCAGAAAGATCTTGAGGCAAGCATAAAACCTTTACAACCCCATGGGATGCCTTTATAAAGCTCAAACTATTTGATGGGCATAGGGTCCATTACTATATCCGGTACAGAAGGAGATCTGCAGTAATCAACCCCTTTAATTCAGGCAAGAGTGGAAGCTCTACTTTGTAGAGACAGGTTTTGCTCTCAGCTTTGCTTTGGCCAAGGAGCAGTAACTTTGAAGGAATTACTATCGTGGCTTCAGTTATATCCTGTTGCTAAATTGTAAGCATAACTCACATCATCTGTGTTCCTGAAAAATTGTTCTATAAAGGTAGAATTATTGGAATTTGAGTGTTTTCAAATTGAGAGGTTTACTCTAACAGCTTCTAGGAGAATCTCTCTCCTATCCTGGGCTTCTGCTACAGTGTGCATGGTAGCCTGAGGAATCTAGTTTGGTGTTGTGGGTAACTTGCATGCCTGTGAATTTTGACAAAATCTTTACCAATTTTTGCTATTAGAGCATGACTAGAAAAAAGGCCAGGGCCCTTAATGACTTGGGCTGGTCCATAAGTAGTTTCTGCCTTTCTTTATTTTGAGGGAACTGAAAAGCAAAATGTTTTACCTGTGCCAGGTGACGGTTGTCCCTCCACCTCTAGGAGGAAAACTGAAGTTAGTGCATTTCCCTTTAGAATGAACTAATATTCTGGTCTCCTGGAGCTGGGATGAACAGGGAATGACAGCATCCTGCATAGCTGACACCAGGGATAGAACAGCCTGATCCCCAGCAGGAGCTCAGCAAATACATGTTCTTGAGGAGTCTAATTGTGAGCTTCTCTCCACAGCAAGTGAAAAACAGATGATGGTGGTGTGCAAGGAGTCCCCAAAGGAATATCTCCAGCCTTTCAAGGACAAGCTAGAGGAGTTCTTCCAGGAAGGTAGGAGGCTTTCTCCCACAGAACATCTTCGGTGCTGCGGCCACTCCTGCTTGGGGCCATTGCCTCTTGCAGTCTGGCTGATCTCCCTGGAGTCATTACATCCGGTGTAGATAGAATTGGCCTAGAGATTTTATGTCACCTCTGGAGTCCATTTTATCATCTTCTACCCTTTAATGTTCTTCTTTTTTACAATTTTTACAAGAGGACAAGCTTTTTGTCTCTTCTTGGAGCTCAAGGGGATTCTCAGGAGATATTAACTGACAGTATGCATGCAAAGCTTATGCAGATTGGGGGTCAGCAAAGCAGGTGATTTCTTTACTGATTTTATAAGTCTACCATCTTTTTTTTGCATTTAGTACAGGGGATATAGGTTATAGCAGGTCTCACTACACAAATCAGACTCAGTGATCCTCCTGTTTTCAGCCTCCCAAGTGCTAGAATTATAAGCACGCACCACCAAGCCCAGTCTCAATCACTATCTCAGCGCACCCCAGGAGGGGGTTGGCACTGCAAGCTGGGGATCGAACCCTGGTCATGGCACTCTGCCTAAGCAGGCACTTTAATCTGCTGAGCTATGAGTCTACCATCTTGAGGGCAGATAAAGATACCAGCATTGTGTGCTATGCGACCATAGTTAGGTGGCTCTTGTATGGCATTTATCAAAGTAGTAAATGCATTGCTCTATAATTTTACCATGTAAATATAACTTAATGTCCTAAAGAAAAGCATGAGAACTTTACTGACTCCAGTTCATAGTGACCACTTTTGACACTTGTAAAAATTAACTTGAAATGAGATGTATATGTATCTTCATTCCATTTTTATTTTTACTTGCTGTAACTCTGTAAGTAGAAAAATCTCTAAGGTACATTTTGGGGCTCTTATCTACCTGTGTGCTATAATGTCCTTATCCTCACTGGGCCAGCTAGCATCTTTAGAAACACTTATGTTGTGAATTTCATTCTTTTGGTTTTTATGTTTGTTTGTTTTTGGTGCTGGGGATGGAATTCTGGACCTTGAGCTTGCCAGGCAGGTGCTTATGCCACTGGGCTATCTCTTGCTGGCCCTCATTATTTTGTTGAAAAGGAAGAAATACAAATAGAATATTAAAAATCTTCTTTGATACTTGGAAAAGGAAGTTACATCTACTAGGTTTTTCAAGACACTCCTGATCAAAGAAAAGGGCTGTTCTGAGAAAGTGCTGGAGTGATGATTCTGTTTTTCTATAACTAGAATCACCACGGATGATTAAAAAAATCTGGATGTCCAGAATGAACTCTAGACCTACCACCAGTGTTTCTAGGAGTGGAAGCAGGCATCAAGAGTATTTTTACTCCTCAGAGCCTGCCTGGCAAGCACAAAGACCCGGGTTCGATTGCTGGCACCAAATGCAGTGCCGGCCCCACCCATGGGTGCAATGAGCCAGCTGCTGAGACGGGGCATGGTGGCACATGTCTTTAATCCCAGCACTGAAGAGGGTGAGACAAGAGGATCACTACAAGTTGGACTGCATAGTGAGACCCTGTGCCAAATAAATAAATAAATAAAATTTTTAAAAAATTTAAAGTATTTTTACTCTTCAAGTGATTCTAGTGTGGTTCCCAAGTTGAAGATCACTGTCACCACTTATTAATGTGTATTCAAGGCTGTATGTTCAGAGGACTGTAAGAACATGTATAATACTATAGGGATCTTAAATATTCCCAGTATTTGGGAGTGAAAAAGCCCACTTTTCCTATCACTTTATTTCCTATTACTTTATTGCTTAGGTCATTTGTGAAAAGAGCAGTCTGGAATGGTACTGTCTGAGAAGGCAGAAAAGGGCTGCAGGGGGCCGTGCATGGCTGAGGTGCGGTGGACTCAAAGGTTGACTCAAATATTTCCTGCCCAGTTTCCCATATTTGTTATGGTGAAGTGATAATAGGTACATTAAGTTACATAAATAAAATATATTATTTATATAAATTTATCTGTCTATGTTTTAAGTGTAACTGCTAAAAATTCTTAACTATTTGTGGCTCATATTATAGTTCAATTGGACACAGCCTCTAGGCTTTCCTCATTTCATCTGCTTCTTTCTTCATGTTATTGCCTGCCTTCCCCACCTTGGTTAGCATGGTGCAGTTTCATAAAGTAGCCCTCTGCTCATTTTCATGGCACGTCTGGCCATTGGTCACCAGTTAGAGCTGTTTTGGTGACTACATGCCACAGCACTAAGCCACACCCTGTGGTTGCAGAAGTGACTCTGGTCAATAAACACATTTTAACTAACAATGATATAATGTGGATTAGGGACCAGGTCTTTACCCAGTCACAGTATATAGAGAAGAAACATCTCTTGGCTATTTTTCAGGGTCCCAGATTGTAGTTTCTATTTAATTTAGAATTTTCCACTGGCTTATAGAGAATGTAAGATTCTTTGCCTACCATAAGCATGCATTACTCTTCTGGATAATCAAATGTTTATGGCAGTTGTCATATAGGTAAATGTAGTATTTCATCAAATGTCTCATTCATTGTAAGAAACATCCTAATAGCCAGCACTATTCAGGAAGAAAACTGCTGTCAGTTAACCCATGATGTACATTATGTGTCCCAACATCTGAAGTGCTAAACTATGAATGTTTCATCAATTTGGAGCTGCAGCATGTAGGACTATAGTTAGACATTGCATCAGAGCAGGAGAATGCCTGACACGTGTGGGGTAAGTCAGGAAAGACTTCCAGCAAAAGTAATGATCTGTGCAGACTTGTGAAAGAGGAGAGGTGACAGTGACAATGGTGGCAACAGTAAGTGCCGTGCACCGAGTGACTCTCTACACTGCATCGTATGTGGAGTGAAATCACCTGGAGCACTCTGACTGTCCTCGAGATAAGCATGGCTCTCAGTCTTTCGTGCAGATGAAGAAAATAAGGATAAAGAATTCTCAGCAGGCTGTGTCAAGAACATTCCAGGCAGAGGAAGACCTCAGATTGGCAAGAGACTTGGTACGACCAAGTTACAGGACTTGTGACAACAAACTCAAGACCAAAAAGGAGGGCAGACTCACAGTGTCTTGCCAAAGAAGCTCTGGTTCCTGTGATGGACAGCAGATACTATTCAGAACTAGTGTGCTCAGGAATGACATGTCACATTGGTTGTTTTGATGTATGGCTTTTCCCCCTCAGGGGTCACTTTGCTTTTCATTGTTAAAAAATGCATTACAATTAACAGCAATTTTAAAATGTTGGACTGACAAGGAGCTTGAGCAAAATCAATAGTGGTAAAAATGAGAAAGGAAAGGACGGAGGTAATGGTTTGTCAGGAGGACTGTAACTCACCAGGTGAAATTGGAGGAAAGCATGACTCTCCTTTGTTCGCTTGGATAACCAGATGGATGAATGAGGAAGATCAGATTTAGGAGGGCAGGAAACAAGGTGAACTTCAGGTACACCATCTTCGACATCCATGCGAGAGACTCCAGTCAAGATGATGTGCTCATGGGACAGAGCTGGAGGAAACGTCTGACGCTGCTGCTTACGTCATAAGACTGAATGGCGAGGCCCACGGAAAGGAGGTGAAGTTTAGGAAGTACCCCAGTATCCAGCACAGGGTATCAAATTAGAACAGTTATTGAGATGAGATGTTTATATACTTCTACAACAGAGCTTATTTAGATTATTTGGCAAGAAGAACAGGGTTTTTATTTTTTAATTTAAGGGTCTTCTCACGCATAAAGTATTAAGCAATTGCATTCTTTATGCCTGAGAAGTCGTATGCTCTGTGTTCTGTTGGTTCGTGATTAAAATTAATTTATGCTGTAATTCAGTTCTTCTAACGATCATGTTTATTTAATTTTTCTTTTGTAAATCATATCCTGTTGTCACATGCAAGAGGAGATGATGTGTTCGTCTTATTGTCTTTTATCCTACTTTCCTTCTCGAAATATCTGAGTGCTGACAAATCAATTATATTCACTCTTAAGTAATTTCATTGCCCGAGCATAACTGAAAGTAATTTTAATGGCACCACTTGTCAGGCTTGCAGTCCCTGTGCTAGCTGAGCCGTGACTCTTTCTCTTGTTCTTTCCTGCAGAGGGCTCTTGTTGCTTCCCCCTTACGGCTAGCTCGGTTCAGAGTAATCTTATATAGGCACCTTTTCTGTTAGCTCACACTTTCCCACCCTCAGATCAAACGGGGTCATAATGATACAGCTTTGAAAAATGTGATGTTCACATTTAAAGTCCCCATAAACATGGCAGGGACCCTATAATTGAAAGGAGGCACATGGCAGCTGATTAGAACCCAGGTATAGATCTTGTAGGTGGTCTTTTCATGCTGTTAAATTGGTCATTTGTATTTATAGCTTTGGCAGGGAGGGCTGGAACCTAAACTAGCTGAAAGACCAGCACTCTCCCGTGGTCTTACACAAGGTCTTATCTCATTTTCCATTCATTTTACCTGCTACCTATGCATAGTGCCAAATTCAAAATGAATCTGTGTGAGCACTTCTGGTACTAAGTTCTCAAAGTGCCTTCTAGGTTTCTGTGATCAGCCAAGATTATAGGTGTTCTTACTATCAGAAAAACTGCATGCCAAGTTAAAAGCAAATACATCTGATTTCCAGCACTGAATGCAACTATAATTATAGTTTTGAGCAACTTGCTACCCCGTGACATCTGGGGCTATTTCTGCCTGGCCCTATTTATTTTGTTCTTCCTGCATCGTATAGGCTCAGCCTGGCTCATGATAGAGTTAACAATGACTTTTTTCAATTAATGAACAAAGATTCTGAATAATGTAAAGTCCTTAGACAGTATTTCTATTTCTTCCTTGAGTTTTTTGTTTGGATCTTTTCAAAACTGGTAAATCATGCTAGGATCTGGTGAGGTGCATTTTTGGCCTGTACTGCATGTGTGTGATCAGGCTTCCCAGATATGGAAGGGTATATGGGCAGATGCATGTGTTCCACTCTTAATCTGTAGCTCCTGCCATGTAATTTGGCATGTAATCCATTCTTAA